TTTTTACTTGGGCATAGAAAGAACAAAACCAAAAGAGGAAGTAGCTTGACATAGGCATAGAAAAATATTTAGGAAAAAAATCCGGTCGAAAGTAGAGAAAATTCAGTCATCTGCAGCGAATGAAGAAGCAATTATTACAGAGATGTTTCAAACCATAAATCTACAACACCCTCCTTTACCATTCACAGGGAATGTCTAGCTTTGTTCCTATCAAATGACAACAGAAAACACTTGTCTATTCGACCATCTGTATCCTTGCAACTCAAATCCAATGCAATGACTCATGCCTGTTGCATCATTTGTAACAAATCAGGACCCCAATGATTAGTAGTGTCCCCAGAATGCCGGACAACCGTTTTGTTTTTAACACAATGTACCAATTCAATCCGGGAATATATGTTGTCATGATCATCTGGAAAATCTCCACAAGTACCGCAATTCAGCCAAAGACAGACCATGCATTTGTTAAGAGACATTTACTTCAACAGAGAAGTCTTATTTGAACCTTAATGAAACTACGTCTCTGACAGATACAGACCATTTATGTGTACTTGGACTCAACAAGACAATTTCAAAATAATATGTGATTCTGTGAAAGATGACGTAAAATCTACACCATCTAGAAGTTTAGAAAATCCGTAGCCATATTCCTCTGCAAATTAAAGAATGGATTGTCAAATTAAATACTGCCAACGCTCTTTTAAACTTCGAAATCCAGTTTAAGAACTATTAGTGCTGCAAGAGGAGCATAGATGATCTTCTTGGGATTGAACACATAACCAGAGAGGAAGTTATTAATGACCATGTATATACATGTATGCATACTCGACAGCTAGCACAAGGAGACATTGTTTGGTAACATCTAGAAAGAAACAGGATATTTTGGTCCTGGACGGCACATACAAATAAAAAGGCAAGAGCAACAACTTCCATTACCAAAAATATGCTTACAGTATCCACAAGGGGAGGCCACTAATGAAGCTTATATGGTGATTGCGACTATTGCTGGTTACCTTGTCTTAATTCTAGGGTACTTTGTCTTACTCTTAGGACCATACCTTGATGATTATAAAAACAATGATGATTCAATCTTCAAACACAACATTAAAACAAATGCAAAAAATATTCAGAGCTGGCTTAGTGAATAAGACATTTTTATTGTTGACTGTGGGTTCAGAGATGCTTTGCCTCTGCTCGAAGATCTTGGAATCCAGGCATAGGTTTTTGGAAAAAGGACAAAAACAAATTACTGATGATGCAAATATGTGCAGTCTTGTAACAAAGGTACACTGTAACAACAGGTGAATTCTTGCAATAAATTGTTTACATTTTTTGTGAAAATGTATTTTTCAACAATATTTTTCAAAATCTTTTCAGGTCAGGTGGGTAGTTGAATCTTCCAACGCAGGTATTGAAAGGTGGCGATAATTGGACAAGACACTATCCACTATTCAAATTCCCTTTATCGGGACTATGTCAGGATTGTTTGTGCAGTCAAACAGATTCCCTCTACCCTGAAGTATTAGTAATGGCACTGCGGCAGATGAGGCAGAGGTATAAAAAATGCTCTATCTGTCAGAACAAGGTCTTTAAGTGCAACTTGCACAAATTGATAATCATTATAAATTCCTTTATGTAATCGAGTAGCGGCATTAAAGAAGACAATTCATTTTTTTAAATGTCATCCTCCTCATCACCCATAAATACATCAATATACGAGTACGTGTGATCAAAAAGTTCGCGAACTATCTCTATATTTACTAAACCACAATTCCGATCAGAATGAAATTTGGCAGACAGTCATACACATGTACTATAAATAGCACATGTAATGGAACGTTTGCCCCGTGTTTGTGACGTCACAATGTGAAAATGACGTCATAAGGCAGATCACTTGTGACAAAAAATGGCTGACTCAGTCGTATTCGAGAAACGAACGGCTGTAAAGTTAAACGTATATCTTCCTAAATTCCTTTGCAGAAGTTTATAATAATTTGTTCACGGTTTACGAAGGCGAAAGACTAGCCTAAAGTTATGTCATTAATTGGATTGATTGTTTAAGTGAAGGAAGGGAGATGTTTAAAAATGATGTTTGTTCCGTTATCCGTGGAAAGCAAACTGGGAAAGAGACGTGTCCTTCGTTAAGCAATCTGATATGAAAGATCGCCAACTTACGTTTAAAAAAATAGATGAATATCTTTACAATAATATAAGTATTTGAACCCTAAAATATCGTTTACTTGCGACTTTAAACATATCCGATATGATTAAGTGAAGGCATCTATACTTAATCCACATGGAAAAACGACGCTCAAAAGACAGAGGACTGGGGTTTGGATGGTCACCACGCTCATTCTGCAAAATAATATCATTATCCATCCATACTATTGCGGAGATTAGTCCATTTCTGACAAATGGACTGTTTTTGTTGTAAAAAATAATTTGCATGGTAAGAAATACATGTACAAGAGTCGGAATTTTTTTTTAAGCTTCTGTGACAGAAGCTAAGGAGTATGTCACGTGACCGCCTATATCAAGTGATCCGCGCATGGGCAGAATAGTTGCAGATGCCCATTAAAATCGGAGAAAGCTACTTTTTAAAAAATTCAACACTAAAAACCCATATCATTTCTTTTTTCGAAGTTATTCAATTAGTTCGCGAACTTTTTGATCACCCCGCGTACAAAGCTACGCGAATTTTTTAAACAAACTCGTGTGGTTTTTTTTCGCACAAAGAAATACGCACGCTAACTCTCGATTCCCGCCTACATTTTGGAACCATATAATTCAAAATGTATAGCAATTTTGCCATAAAATCTTTGTTTAATACAAAGAACAGTTCAATGGTAATTGATGAATTGTCTTAATGCCAACACTAAACAGTAAATTATCCATAATTCCAGCTCTTGAAAAAAGGGGGGTAGACGATATTTTCCATTGAAATCGTGAGTTTCAGGCATCACCATATTTTGAAATAGTCTTGGATATGATTAAATGTTCCTTATTTCTTTTTTTTTGTTTTAGGCAAATAAATAAAACATGAATATATCAATAAAATGTAATGTTTCAGTTGTAAATCGCTTTGAAATTGTTGGGAAATAAACATTTTTACCGTTTTTTGTCAATAAACACGTTCCCCCCCCCCCCCCCCCGTGTCACACAAAAAGCTTTGGTATGAATTTGTGAAATAACATTCCATATTACCTGTAAAAAGGAATTTTTGTGACACGGGGGGGGGGGAATGTTTTAAAAATATTTTCCGTTGATTTCTATAGTGAAAAACACAAGTTTTACCAAAATTTTAGACTTATCTCTCTTTGTCTTTCCAAATAAGTAATGTTTTGTGAAAATCCATATAATTATCTATAAAAAATATTAAAAATTCATCAAATATGTTAACTTGAAAATTGACTGGGAGGTAGGCGGGATAACAATACTATCGTTCGCAGTTCTTAACGTCACATTGTTATAATGCAAATTTATGTAATGAGGCAACAAAATATATTTGTCACTTTTTTATAACTTAATTTTGATTTAATTTCACCAGCTTAAAACATAATTCACGCACAATATTTAGTAAGATTATGATGTGTTCTTGGTTGAAAGATTATGGCAGTTCCGTAACGTTTTTTTTTTTCTATATTTTTCTCGCCAAATGCAGCCGTCTCTGTATCCGTTCTTTGTAAAACAGTCCTTTGCCTTTGCTTAGACACAGAAAAATTGCAGCAGATGTAACTTCTGTCTTTTCTGTATATCAACATGACTCTAAAGCGCAAGATAATAATCTTTTTGATCTGTTTCACTGCTTTCCTTTTTTAAAATCTGGCATTTTTTGGATTACTTTCTGAAATCTACGTGAAAGTTACTTTCTGCTGCAAAAGTTCAAAGTTTAAGACCGTGCACGTAAAAGAATTTTTGTTCAATTGTAACGATTCAACATTTTTAAAAAATAAACAATACGTATTTTTTGGCATGATTCCTTTATGCAGCATTGTCATTTTTCGACGTTACATTTCGACAAAACCAAGACAATACCGAAAATGTGCAAAGTATGTAGAAAAAAAACTTATATTTAAGAGGTCAATTTAAAAATTTCAACAAAATAGTATCAAAGAAAGTTTACTTAGATTAATTTTTTTGTAAATACCTATGCTAGAACCATAGAGAAGAAACGTCATACCATTTATAAATAAAATTCCATTTTTTAAAACATCGACTTTGAGATAATGATTTCAAAAAAATATGCACCTTGGACATGAGATATTTAATACAAATTAGGGTTATATCTCATACTGAAGTTCGATATTGTTCAGTTTTATTACAAGAAGAATGTGACCTTAATTTGTGCGAAAAGCCAATGCATGAGCTTAAAAAGTTCTTGAAGCTGTATGCAGGAGATGTTTGAAAAACACTTAAAATACTGAATTTAAACGACTGTAAAAGGTATGTAAAAAATAAAATGTTTTGTAATCTACAAACATAAGAGTATTGTTTTAGAAAGTTTGATCTATTTAAGTGACAGGACCAAATTAGGTTGTTTTGGCTTTGGTTCTTTAAGGTAAACAAAACTATTTGTTATACCCTTATAAATATCATTCTATATATTTATTACTAATAAAAAGTCCAACCAAAGAAATGTTTTTTACATCGGTCTAACAATCACTATTGACCGGTCTTACATAAGAATTATTAGACCGCAACGTCACTGTTACGTCACAGGTAGTTTTCGTTCAATTTCAGCGTCACGGAAATAACCGAAGCTGAGTGCTGCTCTTAAGAGTTGTCGTTTGCTACAAAGATGGCGTCACACAGTAGGTTCTCGAATACAGACGAGAGTCAGAGTGAAATTGAAAGGATACTTAACGAAAGGGACAGTAAGAACACTAAGAACGTAATTAGATCCGCTGAAAACATTTTAAACGAATTTTAAGTGCATACATGTGATACTTCTCTGTCGGAATTACGCTTAAAGCCAAATGAAGAGATCTGTAATATTCTTCGAAAATTCTACTGTGGGGTACGAAAACAAGATGGATCAATGTACGCAAAGTCTTCGATGATATCCATGAGGTTTGGTCTTCAGAAGTCGTTCATGAAATCAAATGATATTGACATTGTTAACAATGAAGAATTCAGTCGTGGTAATGTGGTGTTTTCGGCTTGTCTCGTGAAAATTAAGAGAGAGGGGACTGGAGAAGTAAAGCATAAAGAAATCATCAGTGACGGAGACATGAAAAAACTGTATGACTGTGGCGTTTTCAATGTTGATAACCCCAAGACTTTACAATGGAAGGTTTTTTTTGAAATTATGTTACATTTTTGTAACAGAGGACGAGAGAACTTAAGAAACATGGAAAAAGATGATTATGTCATTAATGTAGATGCGGATGGGAGGCGCTTTGTTGTGAATAACATATCACGACTAACAAAGAACCACAGGGGAGACTCTGGGGATGATGACACTAATGCTGCCCGCATGTACGAACAACCAGGTATGTAGATTTCTCTTATAATTTCAAATATTGAAAAAAAAATATTTGAGTCAAACAATTTTGAAAAAAAAAACCCATAAATTAACAAGCTGTGTTTCTTTAATTATCATTTAGGAAACCCCAATTGTCCGGTGGCTAGTTTTGAAAAATATATTCAAAAACTGAATCCAGAATGCAAGTCGCTGTGGCAAAGACCAAAATCACTGCCAGCATCATTTGACCCTGACATCCTTGACCTGTGGTATGACAATATGGTGGTGGGGAAAAATACACTTGGAAAATTTATGCAGTTAATCAGCAAAGAGGCCAAACTTGCCACAGCATACACTAATCATTCTATAAGAGCAACATGTATTACAATCTTGGACGAATCGGGGTACGAATCGAGACATATTATGGGGATATCAAAGCACAAATCTGAGACATGTCTGAAACACTATTCTTCTAAATTGAGTGAAAAACGTAAGAGAGATATGTCAGATGCTTTGAGCAGGAAAATACATGTGTCAAAATTTCATGGTTCAGAAGTATTTCCATCAAGGCCCTCATCATCAAGTGTTCAGTCAATCACATATTCTCATGGATCATCATCTATGTCTCTTCAACCAACCTCAAATGCAGTCCCCGGGACTTTCAACGAAATAGTGCAACCAGTTTCCGAGTCCATTGACTGGCTTGGTGATGTTGATGATGACGCACTTGCAGCAGTGTTAAATGACCCTATGATCTTTGCAAATATTCAGGAAATTCCAAAGTCTTCAGTGTCTACTGTAACGCCTTATAACTTTCATGGCTGTACTGTTACAATTAACAATTATTCATCCAATACAGGGGGTCAGTCATAGATATCTGTGATTTACTTTCTGTGATAAACGGTTGTGATATCCAATGTGATAACTAAACTGTGATTAACGAAATTTATTATTTCTGTTATTTAATTATTAATTTCTCTGATAAAATTATAACATAGTTAATATTTTTATTGTTTGTTAAAGTTTTTTTTAATTGTTGTTCAAAGCCAAAAAGTGCAAATGAATTTATTGTTAAAAATATTTGTTGATTAAATCAGTTCTTAAGTCTTCATATTGTGTTTTAATATGTAGATATCTTATGTGAAGGGTATAACAAAACAGTTATAGACTGGGATTCGGGCAACATATGATTTGTTGGACCTGAAGGTGAAAATGTTGCCCTCGGCCTGCGGCCTCGGGCAACATTTTCACCTTCAGGTCCAACAAATCATATGTTGCCCTCATACCCAGTCAATAACTGTATAATATTTGACTCACCTTGTCCAATAACCGAATTGTTAAAAAACGTATTCCAGTCATGTTCTACTCCAAAGTTCTTTTGAAAGTGAAAAAAGGACACGAACATGTCCTTTGGATTTCTTATTACATGTATCATTTTCCTCTTGCTTTCTATGTGGGAACTTGGAAGCCATCTAAACGGCAAGTGTGTGTTAAGAATGCGCGGTGATGGCATCTTTTCAACCTCGATTAAATTGTCTACGAATTCGAGAAATGCTGTTTCTTTCGTCTTTTCTGTGTATTCATCTTGCTGTTTCAAAAGCATAACTGTAATTTCCCACACCCAATGTGTACCTATAATAGTTAAAATATCTGATGAAAGAGAAAGATAAACAAAAATTGTCGTAAATCACAATTGTTACTTGCATACTGTTAATACTGACCACAGGTTTTCGAATTCTATACCGGCAATTTCGTAAGTTTTCGTGATAATAATACGAAAAAAAATTCCCGGCTCAATGTTGAATTTTGAAGAAGATATTCAAATGTATATTTAATAGACTAATAATTACTTGTCTTGTGCCATAAGACGTTAATGCAAAACCAACAACTAATTTTTAAAACATACTGAAATACAAAACAGACCACCTTAAAACAAAATCAACAGACTCGTTTGCAAAATTAACAGACCCCGATGCAAAACAGCCATTCACTGAATTGACGCTAGATGACGTGCAAAAAACAGACATTACTTGAATTAACGCTAGATGGCGCGCAAGTTTTTCTACGTCATTATGTTTTCTTTCGTAGGAACGTAAATCCCGCGAAATTGTCAATCTGTTATCCTTTTTGGCAAACCTCGGATGATAGCATCATGTCGGACTCTCAAAATTCAAACATCAAAAGCAGGAAGACTTACTACAAACGGCTGTAAATTTATTACAAGAAACCAGTAGTAGATATTGGTATTTTCTTTAAGAGAAAATTTTCCATAATTATCTCATTTTCCCTTTTTAAAGGAAAAAGAATTCCCCTTAAAAAGGATTTTTGTGTCTCTACCATGACCTTTCATTGTTCTATCATTGAACTTGATGACGTAAACACTGAACAAGTACTGTAATCGATTTGTGCCATGTGCTTTCCCTTTGGAATTCTGTAAGCTACTTTGAGCCACTTGGGCGATTCCGCAGGTGTGTACTTATATTTAAATGTGTATTTTTTAATATCATTTTATCTAAGAGTAATCGTTAAAGTATCCGTAATTCTCTTGAATGATGTAAAGTATGCACTGATCACAATTGTTTATTCCTGCCATTTCAGTAGCTTCTGTTCAGTCGTTTGATGTTTAATATCTGTAGAAATACTTTTATTAAGTAGTACTGAGGCAATTATTGAGTTGTTTTATTGATTGTATAATACTGTGAAATGAGTTTTTAGCTCACCTGAGCCGAAGGCTCAAGTGAGCTTTTCTGATCACATTTTGAGTTGTTTTATTGATTATATAATACTGTGAAATGAGTTTTTAGCTCACCTGAGCCGAAGGCTCAAATGACCTTATTGATCTCATTTTCTCCGTCTGTCTGTCTGTCCGTCTGTCTGTAAACTTTTCACATTTTCAACTTCTCAAGAACCAATGGCCCAATTTTGACCAAACTTGGTACAAAGCATTCTTGGGTAAAGAGGAGTTTGAATTTTTAAAATAAAGGGCCAAGTCTTCTCACAAGGGGAGATAATCAAGAAAAGACAAAAATAGGGTGGGGTCATTAAAAAATCTTCTTCTCAAGAACCACTGGGCCAGAAAAGCTGAAACTTATGTGGAAGCATCCTGAGGTAGAGTAGATTTTAAATTGTGAAAATCATGACCCCCTGGGATAGGGCGGGGCCACAATGGGGAATCAAAGTTTTACATAGAAATATACAGTCAAACCTGTATTAAGAGACCTTCCAACGGAGAAAGGAAAAAAGGTCACATATGACAGGTGGTCTCTTAATACAGGTTGCTTATTTTCCGCAGTGTTTAATTTACAATGCTGAAAATATCACATGTGTATGTTGAATGTACTTCATAACACCTTATGTTTATTTCCATTATTTAATAGGTACATGTCTCTTAACTCTGAAATGCTTTAATTTATAATTGTCCTGTTAAGAAATAAAATTTCTTGATCCGCACATGAGTCATTTGAATATTGGGAAATATTGTGAACATCTGAAAATATTAATATTTTTTTTTTCATACAGTATAAAAAATGCAAAGCCCCCCCCCCCCAATAATAGTTGTTTCTTTTTTTGTTATAGCCTATATATAAATTCGTTTGTTTTGAATATTACTAACTTAAAGAATAAAAACTGAATCATGATTTTTGTAATGCACTTGGTGTCAAAGTAAATTATATTTTTGACTGAAAAAATTTTTATTTATTAACTTAATTAATTTTTTTAATGCTGAACTACCGTGTCTAATCATGCTAATTACCTGTTTGTGACATTTAAATCACTTCAATTATCACATGGTGTGGGTGCTAGCTAGCGTGTGTTTACATACCCATTGATGAGACAATGCACTTAAAAAAACATCTATGATTTAGTTACTTGTTAATTAAAGTTAAACAGGCAGGTTTTAGCCATTCAGCTGAATATCCATTTATCCTTATAGCATGAAATGACATCGGGATCGACCTCGGACGTCTATTTTCAAAATGGCGCCCGATCACTGGACAGAAAAACGTGAATGTTTATCTCTAAGATTTTAATGTTTATTCAATAAAAATCAAAGCGTAAGTAAAAGTATTCATTTTTAAATGTTGTTTTTTTCGTAAAACTCGCATTATATAATTACTAAATGAAATAAAAGCGTGTCTGTAGTTGTTTTGAACCAAAAACGAAGCATGGTCGACCAAAATAGAAAGTAGGAATCGGAAGTTATTTAGTCGTTAAATTCAGGTAAAATTGCTTGAAATTAATAAAATTGGTCAGGAAAAGCATGGTCGTTGGTCGCGTTAGACAGGTGGTCATTTAATACAGGTAGAATATATAGGGAAAAGCGTTGGGGGGAATTTTTACGGTCACATGTGACAGTGAGTCGCTTAATTCAGTGGGTCGCTATGGCAGTTTTGACTGTATAGGAAAATCTTTAAAAATCTTCTCAAAAACGACTGGGCCAGGAAAACTGAAACTTATGTGGAAGCATCCTGGTGTAGTGTAGATTCTAAATTATTAAAATCATGACCCCCAGGGGTTGGGCGGGGCCACAATGGGGAATCAAAGTTTTATATAGAAATATATGGGAAAAATCTTCTACCAAAGAACCACTGGCTCAGAAAAGCTGAAACTTGTGTGGAAGCATCCTGGTGTAGTGTAGATTCTAAATTGTTAAAATCATGACCCCCGAGGGTAGGACAGGGCCACAAAGGGGAATCAATGTTTAACATAGAAATATATAGAACAAATCTTTGAAAATCTACTACTCAAGAACCACTCGACCAGAAAAGCTGAAACTTATGTGGAAGCATCCCGGGGTAGTGTAGATTTTAATTTGTTCAAATCATGACCCCCGGGGGTTGGGCGGGGCCACAATGGGGAATCAAAGTTTTACATAGAAATATATAGGAAAAATCTTTGAAAATCTTTTACTCAAGAACCACTGGACCAGAAAAGCTGAAACTTATGTGGAAGCATCCTGGTGTAGTGTAGATTCTAAATTGTTCTAATCATGACCCCAGGGGGTAGGGCGGGGCCACAATGGGGAATCAAAGTTTTACAATGGGGAATCAAAGCATCCCATGGTAGTGTAGATTTCAAATTGTCTAAATTATGATCAGTTGGGTAGGGTGGGCACTGGCCCGGTCACAATATGTATTACAAGGGGGAAATCTGGTAAAGATCGAAATGGCCAAAGCTTCTCAGGTGAGCGATGTGGCCCATGGGCCTCTTGTTTTTTTCGCATTATTGAATTTATCCTGTTTGTCATAAACGTGGTTAGGTATTCCGGAAACTGCGTTTCCATTCATACTAAAGTCTCTGTTTAGGTTCTGTAATTATGTAGCAAATAGTGTTTCCTGTTATCATTGTTTACATGCCGATTTTTGAGATTAAAGGCAAAATCCGTAGTTGATAATGATTTCTTGCTTGATATTTGACAAGATGGTAATATTTTCTTTATTAAATGCTCAATACTACTGATTAAGCATTCTAGTCATACATGTTTGTATGTTGAGCTGCTAAAAAGCCTTTTTAGCTCACCTGAGGCGAAGGCTCAAGTGAGGTTTTCTGATCACATTTTGTCTGTAGTCCGTCTGTCTGTAAACTTTTTACATTTTCGACTTCTTCTCAAGAACCGCTGGGCCAATTTTAACCAAATTTGCCACAAAGTATCCTTGAATGAAGGGGATTCAAGTTTGTTCGAATGAAGGGCCACGCTCTCATTAAAGGGGAGATAATTGGGAATTAATGAAAATTTAGTGGCATGTTTTAAAAATCTTTTCAAGATGTGCCAGGAAAGATGAAACTTATGGGGAAACATCCTCAGGTAGTATAGATCCAAGTTTGTTCAAATCATGATCCCCGGGGGTAGGGCGGGGCCACAATGGCCGACC